ATTTAAAATTAGATTATCAATTGTATTGGTTAATATGGACTAATGTCTTCTTCCTTTACTAAAAATTTGTTTCTTAAAACATTTCTATGGTTTCTCTATCTGATATGTTTTGAATCTGCCTGTGTTTTGCTGCCATTTTTTGCAATTACGTCCTTTTTTCCTTAGTTTCCTAATGTGTTCCTTTATTGTAGAATATTTGCAGCATGTCGTTTCACTCTCTTTTTTTCCTTTAGAATACGTTTCCGTTGTTTCTTCTGCTTTTCTCATGTAGTTATGCCATTTGTTATCTGTGAGATTTCTAAGTTTTATTTCTTCTTTCTGTTTCTTCTCTTTATGATTTCTTCCAGTTCGTTCGAAAATAAGAGTCGTTTAACTTTTAGTATATTCTTTTGAATGTTGTTTTCCATATCCAGTTATATTTTTTCCATATCCTGGTATTCTCGATGTCCAAAATGCCTTTCATCTCTTTTGGTACACAGGCCTGATCGAAAAGATCCATCTTGCTAGACTTCCTTCAAAAAAATAATATATTCCTATCTCTCCAATCGGAAAATCCGTATCAAGGTTGCTAACACTTTGCTATCAACGCAATTTACTCCACAAACTGGAATCCCTTAGGGCTCTATTTTAGCACCAATATTATATATAATCTACAACAGATTATCTATTATATATAATCTCCACCTCTTAACTAGACCGGAGTTAATACAATTATTTGCTGATGAAAGAACACTCTTCCCTACAGGAACATATAACGGGACGCTGAGACATGCGTCTGTATTAGAAAGAGCACAAAATCGTTTGAACAGAATTGACAGGTGGTGCAACAAATGAAGAATCACATACAATGCTTCTAAAATGCAATTAATTTTATTTAAATCCCCTCACAGCCTCGATGCTGGGAGGAAGCCTATAGCCCTCCTACGAGAAAATCTCGATTTCAAAAGTCAGTGTCCTACTTGAGAGTTTATTTAGCAGGACTCTCAACCGGGACATTGATATCAAAAACACCTTAGGCAGGGTAAGAAAAAGAGCTAAACTCCTAGGTGCATTGTCCAGAAAACTCGAAGCTACCTCAAATAAAACTATCTTGCACACCGACAAGACTTTCATCAGGACTATCATCCAATACAAGGCGTGTATCTACGCGTCACTAAACAATCGCCAAACCACCATTGTGGCAACAGAAATTGGCATGAGGAAACTTGCAGACTATCCGTCAGCACTAATTCACTTAGTTGCGAATCTACCATCAATAAAGGACAGATTCGTTCCCTCAGCAACAGATACGTCCTCCAACAACATATCTAAGCAAACTCTAATGACTTCTTGCCACCACCAAGGACATTATTTCGCCAAGCTCCTCCAAAAAAAGTGCCGTTCTTTCCAGCCAAGCTTTTACATTTTGCTTATAACGACCTGCCTGATGATTATTATGGCATCCTCGAAACAACCCCCTCAAATATTGCGGATAAAATAACTGCATGCCAAAAATGCTCCATGCATACCACTCCAAACAACTATTTATTCGCAATTAACATTGCTCGCTTCCCCCAAGGGCCCCCGCAAAAATAGGAGCGGCCCTCCTTGAAGAACCGTGAGCTTAAGCGATGCACTAACGTTCAGATTGATTGAATTAAACAACTTTGCTTTTCCAAAGAATCCAAAACCGAATACTAAGGTATATACTAACGCTTCGTTTATATATCTGCAACAAAGATCTGATGCAGGAAAACTCCACATGGAATCGGTTTAAAAAAAAAGAAGATTGCCAAGTGTTACCAAGAGCGATTCAATTTTGTGATACCAGTTTGTGCCAAATTGGTAAATGTAAACGCACCAAGAATAATGATAATAATCATTATCCTTGGGGATTGATGCAGGGAGACAAATATTCTAACAGTGCAGCCGCTGGGAATAAGAAGCTGCGACAGACCAAAGTTGAGGTGAATAGACGGGGTAACACATGATGCTGCCAAGGTCGGTGTTGCTAACTGGAAAATCCAAGCCAGGTTTGAGAAGGTCAAGGCCCTTTAAGGATTGTGGCACATTGATGATAATGATGAACTATTGAGACACATTAAATACAAAATGTTGGTAAATCTTACGATTAGATGCACTGTTTTCTTTTAATAAGACACATGATATTGTATAAGTGAAGTTCTTTGTTTTTTCTTATTCATTGTCAGCTATGTTTTTTGGTAAGATCGATTTGTGTATTTTTGTTATCGTTTGAATTAGAGAAAAATAATAAATGTATACCAATATTTATTTAGAATTACCTGATTCATAAAACATTTTAAAATATTGTTATGCTTTATATTTCGCAATTTTTTATTTCGTTAAAAAATGTTTTCGTTCCAACTTTCAACTGTAAACATTAAATTGACATATTAGTAAATTTTTGTCTTACTAAGCTTTTTGTGGTTATTAACCTTATTTTTATACGCTGTCTTTAAAAATGCGCAATATTAGCTTATTACCTAATTAATTTCTACTGTAAAATTATTCACCGTAATATGATTATCAATAAAATGTATCGCTTAATAATTCAATTTTTATTATAGGCTATTATATCGACAATTGTAATTGTTAGAACCTTAAATAAGTTATTTAGTATTTTTTTAATGTAATTTATGTTTTGTTTTTTTTTCCGCTTAAAGATAAAGGTGCATAAGGGAACTTGCTGATAATGAAACGATTAACCAAATAGATTATATAATCAGCGATGTAAGACACTGCCACAGTATAAAGAGGTTTCACTCTTACTGGAACCTCTTTATACTGTGATACTGCTCTGACTTATTAAAAGTTAGGTCTTTTAGAGAAGCAAACATAGCATTGATCACTATTTAGTTAAAACACGATTTAAAGAGAGAATATCCAATTTAAAAAAGGAGATCGGGAAAAGGAGAAAAAAAATTGACATTAATAAACTAAAAGATCACGACACTGCAAATGTATACAAACAGCAAATAGAAGATGAAATAAGGACAGAAAACTTAGAAGAAGAAGAAGAAGACATTAACCAACTATGAGCAAATATTCGATATATTGTGTGTTGTACAGAAATCGATTGAAATATTCGGCAAAACTAAGTCAGAAAAAAGAAATCGTAGGTTTGATCATTCCACAAATAGAAAGAATGCAGCAGATCAAAAAACAATGGACGCAAGTTGTACACGAAAAAAAAAAAGAGTATAGAGGTTTTAGGAGAGAGGAAGAACGTATCCATCGACGTAAGAAGATGGAATACGAACCAAACACTCTTAATGAGATACAGGGTTTATTCGATAAAAATGAAACGAGGAAATAATACAAATCCTTAAATAATAGCCGTCGAGAATTTAAACCACGATTAAACATTTGTAAAGACAATAATGATAAAATTCTACTTAGTTCTTAACAGGTGGGCACAACATATCAGCGAAATCTAAATATAAACGATATTAAAGAAGGATACAACATAGACAATCAACAAAATCTACAACTTCGCCCACACAGTGAATACCCAACAAGAGTTAAGAGTAAAGGAGTGTCAAATGCCATCCTAAAAGTCAAAGGAAGTGAAGCCTCAGGAATCAGTGAAATCTGTTCGGAAATGTATAAAAAAAGATGGTGATCAGCTTTTTGCTGCAATTCAAAATGCAGAAGGGTGGCTAAAGAGAATAATATGGTCGTTGCATAAAAAAGGTGATCAACTGAAGTGTAAGAACTATAGAGGCAATGTATTGTTTGAAAGACTTATACATTTTACAAAAGATATTGTCGGTCAACATCTATGAGGATTTGCTGCTGGAAAGTCAACTACACATGAAATTCATACAGGCAGACTTTAAAAAAACTCATAGAATATGACATAGATACATACCATCTCTTCGTCGACTTCACAGCAGCCTATGACAGTGTGAAAAGACTGCATTATGTATTTTATTGATAAAGTTTGGGATCCCACCTAATTTAGTTAAGTTGGCCCAAACTAAAAATGCAAAACGTAAGTTCATGCATTAGAATTTAAGGAGAAAACTCTACGTTCTTTGACATTAATAATGGCCTAAGACAGGGAGACGTACTGACGTGTCTCCTCTTTAATATTGCCTTGGAAAAGGCAATCAGACAATTAAATATTAGAATAAATGGAACTATTTTTAATAGATAGACGCAAATTCTCGCATTCGATGACGATATAGTTATAGTAGGCAAAAGTATGAGAGACATGGTGCAGTATTTTACAAGGCTTGAGGACGCGGCAAGTGAATTAGGATTTGTGGTAAACGAGGAAAAAACCAAATATATGTTGGTTTCTAAAAACCCCCGAAATATACAACAGATAATTCAAATTAACAATCTACCTTTGAGCAAGTCAAAGAATTGACATACCTTCTATCGCTAATAAACGCAACAAGCACGACAAGCGACGAAATAAAAAGACGCATATTAGAACAGTAGTAAACAGAACTGTTCCCGGTCTCCAAAAACATTTAAAAAATAAAAATTTAAAACGTGCAGTATTGAGACCTTATCTCAAAACGATGAAACGCTTCTTGGTATTTTTAAGAGAAAAAGTTTTAGAAAGGTTTTTGGGGCTGTAAATGAAAATATTTTATATGGAAAGGAGTTACCAGGAATCGACAGGAGTGGGTACTACTTTCTGAGCAGGCCAATATTTACAACAGTCGAGCCACTTATGATGATGATGTTTTGTTAGTTACAGTTTGTGCAAATAGCTTGTTTAGAAAATGCCGCAAATTATAAAATATATGAGTACGAAATTAAATATCAACAAACACTTTAGTAGCTTGGATCAACAGACAATGACATCTTGAAGCTCAAAAAGTTGCTTAAAAGTTCTATATCATACTGTACAATTTAAAATCTTTTGGTTTTCAGTAATTTGGTATATGGTTCCAATACAATTCGCATCAACTAATTCAATACCACAAGTTTCTCTCTTAAAACTGTCTTTCTCAGTTAATACATTGGAATCCAATAAAAAACAGTTCGGCTTATAAACTTTATTTTTTTAATAAATGTTGAAGTCATAAAAGTAAAAAATGACTGAAATATAAAAAATAACTAATTAATTTTTAACAACAGTCCGAATGTTGGAAAAGCTGAACAATAGATTTTCCAGAACTGTCTCCTTTTGACGTATCAACGAAAAAATTTACAGTATTTTCAAAACCTTGACCTATAGATTCCTTGAATTTAATTTTACCATGTGCCATCCACGTTTGTAGTTGGAACATACCTGCCATCCATTGAATCGTTCGACTATATACGTCCATTTCTTGTAGTTTCAGGTTCTTCTTCGTGATTATCTTCTGAGCTTGTTCGTTTTCATCTGAAAAACATTTAATACTTTGTTAGTTAAAGAGAAAACAACTAAGATACTACTGTTTTCACCGAACGTGATCATTTATGACGATAATTTTGTATTTATGGATAATTTAGTAGACTTTACAAAAACATTGTTATAAAGACAAGAGAAATGTTAGCTAAAAAATAAAATGTGTTTTATATTTATGCCAACTAAAACTTTCAGCATAATGTTTTTCCCGTACGACGTTTTAAACGTTGGATTTAACATCCAACATTGTTACTTGACCAGCCCCCCTCTCCCAGTATTGAAGATCGTGATTTCTTCCAATATTCCTAACTAGCTTTCTCCTTTGGTCTCTATCGTCTGCTGCTTTGAGAGCTTCGCAAAATGAATTTCCAGCTGAATTCCTAATTTGGTCGGATCATCAAGTTGGTGATCGTCTTCTTGATCTTATCCCCGAAACGTTACCAAAATCAAATAATCTCTCCAAACCATCATCACCTCTGCGAACCACGTGACCGATAAGTTGCGAATACGTTGCATACATATAATGGATAGCCTTTTTTCAATCTCGAGTTGGTTTAGAATGGAAACGTTTTATCTATAAGCTATGTAGAAACATTTAAATATTTGGGAGTACTAGTCAACATATAAAATGAAAGTGTAGATATGGAAAGAAGAATTCAAGCGGGAAATACAGCGTTTTATATAATTAAAAAATTATTAGAGATAAGAAGATCCGAAACACAAAAATGAAAATCTACCAAACGATCATTAGACCAATAGTAGTGTACGCTGCAGAAACATTTAAATCAATAGCAACAGAAGAAGAGCAATTGAAAGTTTTTGAGAGAAAGATTATTAGAAAAATACTGGGACCAAAGAAGAAACAACGAAGAGGATGTAAGACAATGGACGAATCACGAAATACAAGAATGTATGGGTCAAAAGACCATAGTTAAAGCCATAAAAGGACAAAGAATTAAATTGTATGGACACATGGTATTATGAAAAGAGAGAGGAGCAATCCGGTAAGAGTTATAATGGAATGAATACCACCTAGTAAAAGAACCAGAGACAGACCTAAATTGAGATGGAGACAACAAGTGGAAAAAGACTTAAGAAGAATGGAAATTAGATATATAGAAAGAACAATCAAAGAGAAAAAAGAATGTACAAAAGGAGTGGAAACAGCTAAGTTGCACCAGAAACTGTAAAACCAAATCCAGAATAGGATGATCTCCCACACAAAAAGGATCTTTAATTAAAAACAGCTTCAGCTTCTTCGGGAGTTTATAGTTTGTATATATATAACATTTACCAAGATAGTATATTCACTGTGCATTTCCCATTCCTTTACTTTTATTTACTATCTTTAATCAATTTAATATTCCACTTACCATTATCATTAGAAGTTGATTTGTAAGACTTATTTTTACTTTTGGCTATCCTGCCTTCAGCATTCATATGTTCATAGACTACTGTGGATAGTTTACCGCCAACCTAAAAGACCATTTATATGTAAATCACTTTATACTGGCACAATCTACAAAGTTAAATTTATATTACACATATAACTTTAGAATCCACGCCAGCAAAAAGAAGAGTAAAAGCTATTACAACACATACATAGAACATATTCTAACATGAAAACTATTTTTTGTAGTTAATTACTTTATATCCTTTAAAATACTAAGAGACAATTCAAAAGATAGTTATAGTGCTCTCCGTAATAGGCTTTTTGTCCTGCACATGTTTTTTTTTTCGTCTTTATAGATGGGGGTGTGGAATCTTCAAAAGACATCTCAGTCCAGGACGCCGCCTGACTGAATTTACTTAGTGCAGAATTCGTTCTTCACTACCTTTACTACCTTCATTCATCCTCAGACTGTCAGCAAGGAAGCTCCCTGTCTAATTCCAGGTCGCTCGTGGAAGACCCTAACCGCTCCTAATACGGTATCACTCCCACGTGAGCATTTCCTCCTTCCCCACAGTCTAATTCTTACAGTCTGACCCACTTTTCTATTTTTAACTTCCAGCATCTTTCCCTCTTACCTTTGGTCCAGCTGTCTTTCTTCCTCTTCTTTTTTCTAACCACTGCATGGATATAGTTGTTTATAATAGTCCATCCTGCTTTATTTTCAATCATTCTCTCAATCATTTCTCCCACTGTAACAAAATTCACACCTGTTTTTTTTCCCAATCTGTTCCTTTCTATTATTCATCTATTCCACTCTAACATCGTATGTGTCACAGGGTCCGAGTGTCCGCAGTATAGGAATTCATCTGTGTCAGCCTTTTCGAACCTATGTAGACCCTAAAACACCCATGTCCTGTGAGCACCTGCGTCAGGAAATAATCCAGTCGCCTGTTGCCAGAGTCCACCCAATCTCTTATGTTCGGGATTAGCATTTTCGTCCACTGTGCCACATACTATGTGTTATATTCCATTCTTCTTGCCATCTTTCAATTGAACTTTCCCTTTCCTGTCTTTCTCTCGGCCATATTAAGATTTGGGCCTCTTCTCTCATAGAGGTCTTTTCTTTCCACTACCACAACATGCAACGGAACACATCCAGTGATGGTTCAGAAGTTTGCCGCACAGTCCTGTAGGCGCTTGCCACTCGCAACAGACTTGTTCTGACTACTCGTGTAATAAACTCGATATAGACAGTTATCTCTAAGTCGAGTGAAGGACGATTGACTATACAACACCGTGTAAGACCCTCCTCCTTTCGGATTTGGGTCCCCCAATGTTCGGAATAGCCGTACTATTCGCAGCGTTTCAAGCCGCCTCCCTCACGTGCTTCCCCCATTTTACATTCTGGTGCAATGTCATTCCTAGGTACTTTACGTGTTTCTTGGGTTTTCATGACATGTAATTCGACACTTTTCCTGTTTCTTTTCCCCTTTAGAATGATGGCGATTTGGTTTTCTCTGCCGCAAGTTTCAGTCCGTGCTGCGTCGTCCATTTCTTTACGACGCTGCCTGTGTTCTAAACCCGGTATTTGAGATCTGGCTCATCCCGGGCCACTACCAGTACATTGAGGTCATCCGCGAATGCGAAGGGAGTTGTACCCTCTCCGTATTTACAGTGTTCATAACCCCTTCATATGCCAGGTTCCAAAGCATCGGGCCCAAGACAGATCACTAAGGGACCCCGGCCGTCACGTCTACGATCGTGCTCTTTTCCTTCCACCATAATCCTTCTTCCTGCACAACATCTGCATTGGCTCAAAGACAGTCCACAACACGCTACACACCAACACCATTTTTGTTAATTTTGTATTAATAATAAGACAGTTTGATTTTAATTAAATATTGTTTACTTTTCTTGTGAGGAAACATTCAAAACCTAACAGTTTTTGTAGAGGATCAATAAAACTGTATGATTGGTAGTTTTAAGCCAAAAACGTTACATAGACTTCCACAATCACAAACAAACCTTATTTATATACCTATATTTCTCATCAAATTCCAGAAACTAAAATTGTCTCTATCTAATTTTCATTTATAAAGGTCCTAAACACAGCTTCAGAAATAAAGGAAAATATGCTTTTTACCAAATGAATAAAACTGAGTCACCTGCCGCTGGTAGGAATCGAAAAATTACAGAACTGACTCATCATATTACTAAAAAAACGAACATGAAGAAACTTCGCTTTAATTATCAAAACCAACCTGATAAATGACCGAAAGAATAAACTGACGGGTATAACAACACAAACGGTATACAAGGAAAACGATAGAAAAAGTATACAGAACAGCTATAAAATGACGAAGATAGAGAGATCGATGAAAAAGATGAAGATGCTGAAGACGAGCTGGATTCTATGCTATGCAGATGACGCAATAATATTATCAAACACGTTGTAGAAAACGATCTACAACGAATTGTTCACGCTTTGGTAGCTAACGCAGAAAAGTTTAACCTGAAAATATCAACACTAAAAACAAAGTCCCAAATACGCAAATCGCAGACATGTGTAAAGTACATGATATCGTCAGATGGCGACAACAAAGAAGATTTGAATGGAATCTACACAACATCACAAATACACATCACAGACAACATCACAAATACTACTAAATCAGACCGAGAACAAAAGGCCTTAAGGCCTGACGTACGAAGAAAAAGAAGGGAAGAAGGATTTATTTAAAGAACTGGCTTGAAGCAAACCAGAATCATTCTGTAGCATATTAAAAGGTGATGTAAGGAATGAAATTTACTATAGGCAGTGACATAAATTTGAGATAAAGTATCTACTTAACATAGGTAAAGAATGATACACATATCCTTTGAGAATATAAAATACTTGGTGATATGAGGCCAAAAATATTAATTTAGCCATAAAAAACATTAAACTGTATGTAGATGTTACTAGATTTTATACTAGGAGCACAAAATTATTGATTGGAGTTTAATAAAAGAACTGGGTTAAATACTTTTCATGAGATTTAAGATTGTTTAGCGAACTGCTCCAAATAAACATCTTGAAATTATTATACAACAAAAACCAAATCTATAGCAGACTTATGGGAGTTTAATAAATGCTCCATAGAGTATAACATTAAAAGATATGTCTTAAAAAGGTATAAAAAACCGTAGATATCTTTTTTATATAATATTTTTGGACTATTACCATTCTGAGGCTCCACTACCGTACTAATTATACTGAATATTCATACCATACATTTCTGAAAGTAACTTAAAGTGACTGTATAGAAATGGACTGTCTGTTTATAAAAAAAACTTACGTTATCGAAATAGCAATCCACTCCTTGCTTAGCTATCCTAGTTAACTCCTTATCTACGTCTTCGTTTTTGCAGTTAATAAAATGATCTACTTTTAAGTCACTAATCAACCATTTTCCTTCGTCGTCAGTTTCTACTAGTCCAATTACAGTACATTCTTTAATCTTAGCGATTTGGCAGACAATACTGCCAACCAAACTAGCAGCTCCTGACACAACAACTGTCTCGCCTTTTTTAGGATTGCAGAGTTCCAAAAACGTAAAGTAAGCAATGTTTCTAAAAAAAAACAATTTGAGAAAAGGCAGCAAATATTTGATTTCACGTAAACAAATCCTATGTATCTCTTGATACGTATTTCGACCTAATAGGTCTCGTCAGAAGAGCTATTCATAGGGGTTCTCAACGTGAAAAATCAATATTTTCTGCCTTTTAAGAAGCAACAATAACATGGCTTCAATACGGACGCAATAGCGACATATAATTACAAAAATCGTAAAATAGTTTCGAAACGCAATTCAGATTGCTGCTTTATAATCTGAGCCTTCTAAAAATTGCAAGGCAAACAGACGTTGATAAAAGATGTTATACAGGTAAAAATTGTACTTACCCAGGTACTCCTAGCACTCCTAAAGCAACAGAAGGGCATGAACCTCCCATATCTGGTAGTAAGTATGGCTCAGGTATTGCTGGATCCGCAGCACCGTCTATGATAGAATAAGTCCTCCAGCCGCTTCTTACAACTACCAATTTGCCTTCTGGAAAGTTTTCATTTTTACTTTGAATAATCCTGAAAAGAGTAAATAAAGTTAAGTATATGGTTTGGCCACAGAAATGAAACCTAAATAGTTTAGAGGACGAATTTGCGAAGTTGGCAAAAAATCAAAATAAAACAAAATACCTAATTTGCTCAAGAAAAAATGCAGTTAATGTGACAAGGTTAAATATTGGGGAATAATGGAGTTTGAAAAGGTAGAACACTTTAAATATTTTGGAGTCTCTGTTAATGGAACTAATAAAAGAAGAACAGTAATCAATGAAAGAATTCTGACTGGAAAAAGTATTTACTGGAAACACAACAACTTTTTCAAAGACAAGAATTTTACTCAGAATGCTAAACTAAAATGTTACAAAGCAGCAATTAGACCAGTAATCACCAATGGTGCTGAAGTAATGTGTCTAGCACAGAAAGGAAAAGAAAGATAAAGGACCTTCAAAACGAATGAACAGTTTCAGATTTATCAAGGCTTAGAGACTTAGATGGATGGGACATCTAGGAACAGTTATTAATAATGGAGACCAGTATTAACAGGCATGTAGGCAGAACAAGAGGAAAACCGAAGACGAGATGGGAGAACCAGATAATTGCGGATCTTAAGAAGATGAAAGTCAGAGATTGGAAACTAAAAGCAAAAACAGGAAAGAATGGAGAAATATTGTAGAAGACGCTAAGTCACTACTACAACTTTTACAACTAATTGTAAAACCAAAATGTTACTGGGGAATTCCCTTGATAAATGAATCGGAAGATGGTGGCAATCACTCCTTTAGGAGTGTAGATGCCATGATGATGATGATAATGTGATTCTGGCTCAAGATGTGATGCAAGATCAAGATCAAGATACATTTATTAATGTCACAAATAAAATAAACATCAATAAAATATAATGTAATATTACCTGGCGATTTGTGTTTGTCTTATGGTGGTGTTATTGTTTTCTTCTACAATAGGCCCTGCTGTACATGGGTCAACGCTTAAGAACATGGCTTTTACAAGAAACTCTAAAAATGTAAACGAAAATAAAACAGACTGAGATATTCTATGTTGTGTTTTTTTTTTGTTATTTTACATCATCTTAGATTTTATAAATAGTTACAAATTATTGGAAACAATAAACTATTTAGGATTAGCTTGACTGTTTTTACCGGTAAGTGTATAAATACAGCTAAATTTCCAATGCAGCTACAGTTGCATCTTAAATTTTAAAATAAAATAAAGAATTTTAACTTTTACACCAAAAGAAAAACTCTTTTATGGTAGCAAGAAATATGATTGTCAAATACTAAAATAAAACAAATTGGGTGTACTGTATTTGTAGACAAAATTCAGAGAATTATATTCAAACAAAAAAAAAGAAAGAAGAAGAAGAGGAAGAACTTTTATAAAAACCATAGACAACTAGGAAAAACAGAAAAAAGAATAAACATGCCAAATCCTGCAGTATGGATAGTTGCTGCATGAACAATTATTTTATTTGTGGCTATAAAAAATGTTTCCAAAAGCTTGGATTTATCAAAATAATAAAATAAGTTGAAGAATTTGAAGAAAAAGGCATTTCACTCTTTTGCCAATTGTCCTTCTGATAGGCTTCAAAAACTTTAAGTTCTTTTTAATAGCGTCATAATATAAAGGGTGATCAAATTAAGAAAGTTGAGAATTTTTTAAGTTTGTGTTTGGAATTCCTTGTATAATAAATATAGTTTTATCTACAAAGTAATAAAGTTGCTGTGGAGAGATAACTTAGCATGAAATATGCTAAGTTGCAATGGAGAGATAACAAAGGTCTGATTTAAGATCAATCGGGTTAATCACTAACTCAACTATCATGGACGGCAGTGTAAGATGGAAGCAATTCATGCAGTTAGTCAAGGACCACCTCGTGTTTTAGTACAACGAAAAGAAGAAGCAATTATAACCCTAGCTGTTGTAAAAAAAAATTTAGTTATAAGAAACTGGCCATATTTATTAACATTACACTATAAAAATAGTATCGGTATCCGCATATTGAATTCAATCTGTAATATACGCTCCAAATGTATTAAAAGCTTAAGTACTGAAATCCTAGGAAAAATATCTGGTAAAGGGTCTCCTAGGAATAAAAAAGAAAGTGGTTAGTGGTAGAACGTTAAAATACAACAGATCGTTAGATAGAAGAAAGAGGCTAGAAAAAGGTAAAGTAGGTCTAGAAAAAGAATAAAAAGTATACCCACAAGGTAGTCAAGAAACAAAACGCGCTAAAGAAAAATTGTCTTTAAAGCTGTATAAAGAGTTGGAAACACCTCAAGGTATGAGTTGCTAAAGCAAAGGACAAGCCATCAAAGTAGTTGTCTTACATACGTACGGCCATCGAGCAATAAGACAAAAGAGGGAATCTAATCGTTATGAAAAGGAGACCAAAAAAGTGGCCTCTGATGGCGGGCATATCCGGAAATGCAAAGGCGCTAAATTTAAATTTTCCAACACTTGTTAACAATACCTGTAAAATATTTTTCAGACAAGAAAGTTTTAATTAAATATTAACGATAATAGTCTAAAAAGTGACACAATTGGTAAAAAACTTCAATATAAATAAAATTTCATGTGACAGTTGGGACAAACAATAACATAACCAAACTAAATTTGACTTCTTAAACAAGGAAAGAGACAGTCTATCCTTGTCTAAAGTGGCCTCTCAAGATGGCACTTCCTGTCTATCAATATGTTTACCCCTTCTACCTTTACATTCCCTCTTTTGTCTTATTGCTCGATGCGTACGGCAGATAAAGCCTACGGATGATAGAGTGTTAAGATCGGATGTTAAAATAAAGCAAAGATGGTATAAGTACTTTATAAAGATGATAAATAAAATAACACCAGAGGATAGACAGAAGATGCGAGATTCCGAATGAAAATGTGTACTGGGGATAATGAGAAAATGAGGTTGTCGAAGTTTTAAATAGGATGAAGAATGGTAAGGCAGTAGAATCTGATGGAGGTTCTACATAGTCTTCGAGTACCTGTCGAAGTCTGGAAGGCTATAGCAGAGGGAGAGGTGATGGGTTGTGATGGTACCACTGTATAAAGATGAAGGGGGCAATCAGGACTGATTGGCAGAGGTTTTGAGAAAAAGATGAGTTTTAATAAAGGAAATACGCTAGATAAAACTGAGTGGCGAAGAAGGTTAAAGAACAACGACCCCTGAAAATTAAAAAATCTGAGGAAGAAGAAGTAGATGCAAAATTAAAGAAGTTGTTATAGAAGAAACACAACATGGTTTTTGAAGACAATGTTTTTATTATAAAACAAATTATTGAAGTACGAACAAAATTCAAACATCGGGTAAAGAGACCCATACCATGTTAAATTATAGAAGAAAAGGGTAGCAATAACATTGTATAGAAAAAAAGCGTGAAAAACCATATTTGATATACAGATAATTGAATATATGTAAGACTCGAAATAAAAATATTCTCGATAATAAAATGGAGATAATATTTAAACAGAATTTATGAAAATCTAATAACCAAATTAAAGAAAAAGTTAAAGAAAAAGAAACGAATATATCGAAAGAGACTAACTACAGAATTGGCAAAATTATAAACCACATATGACATCCATGTAGCAAGAAATAATTTAAACCATGCGGTACAAAAATCAGTTGACGAGGTAACTGCAAAGCCATTCTTTAATATAATTTTCCAAAGCTTTATCCCTTTAAGGTAGTCTTACTACAGCAAAACTTTAATAAAAAAGTGAACAAAAATTACAAATTATCTTCAGCTAGTACATTTTAGAAAATGCACTTATAGATTCAAGATACACTAACATAATTAAAAACATGTATGAAAATGCCACCATGCAGATAAATCTGGACGAAAGCACAAAAACGAATCCCATAAGACTACAATGGGGAGTAAGACAAGGAGACACCATCTCTCCCAAAACTATTGCTCTAGAAGATATTTTTAAGAAACTGGAATGGAACAATACGGGTATTAACGTCGACAGATCATACTTAAGTCACTTGAGATTTGCAGATGACATAATTTTAATAGGCGATAATATCCAAGAATTAAATGATATGTAACAACAATTAAATGCTGTTTCAGGAGCGGTAGGCTTAAAAATGAACTACAGTTTAACAAAAATACTGAGTCAAGACGAGACAAATATAACAATACAAAATCATACCAGAGAAAATGTTATATTATGTATATCTAGGTCATGTCATCAAACTAGGAAACCCAAATCAAGATGCTGAAACTAGCATATTTCATGAAAAACACCTCCATTCCTGTAAACTTTAAGAAAAAGGTGTATAACACATGCACACTACCAGTTTGTACCTACGGCTTAGAGACAGTAGCCCTTACCAAAAAATCTACTAAAAAATTGGAAACAACGCAAAGAGCAATGAAACGAATCATGCTTGGAATACCACTGAGAGACAAGATTAGAAACACCGAGATAAGACGTAGAACGAAGATTAGGGATATTGTGGAAGAAAATTATAAAAATAAAATAGCGCTGGGAAGGTCACTTAGCCCGATCTAATGACAACAGGTGGACACGGAGAATTCTAGAATGGAGACCAAGGACGACAACAAGAAGCATGGGAAGACCTCGAAAACGATGGGTAGATGACATAAGAGCAGTGGCAGGCAAACAGTAGATTAAATTGACGCAAGATAGAGAAAGACGGAAGCAATTGGGAGAGACCTACATTTAGGAGTGGATGGAAAATGGTTGATAAAGAAAGAATAGAGAGTACATTTTAATAACACCTAGTAGTTGGTTAAAAAAACTAAAATATAAAAAAAAATTATGTAAAAAGCAAAAAATATCTTGTCATTAATTATTTTTAGAAAAATAATTGTATATTGCCTTAATTTAAATGTATGTATATAAACTTACCCCCTTCCTCAATAGAACGCAGATTTTCTTCGATGAGTTCAAAGTCAGACCGTTCCGGCAAACCGTCGAAAGGTCTGATTTGTTTCCAAACTTTTGCCTTCACCATATCTGTCGTAGGAGGTTTAAGTTGAACTGACCGAAAACTTTTTTTATTGCAGACACAACATTCACTATTTATACATTTGGTTATCTTTTCTAGATTATTCTACGGTGTGATGAGGTAGCACTAGATAGCATTGACCATGGGTAAATATTTCGTGGTCGCAGTCCCACAAAAAATCGAAAATGAAATGCCACAAATAAACAATTTAAAAGATTATCAGTGGTAAGATTGATAGGTTGATGTGTTTATTTATTGTTTCTTGAAATGTACTGTATATTTAGCATGTTAGTTTTATTTGAAATATAATATCTAATAAGGGCAGACAATTACTTAATAAGAAATTAAGAGGACAAATTAAAATAAAATAAAATGAATTTTCCTCATTTATTAAAACATCCCCTAATAAGCTTTCCAGTAGGTAACTCAGATCATGCAGTCATACCGTTTCACTCAGTTTAACTTAAAATACTGTGTTCCCAATTCTAATGTTAATAAAACGGTATATGAAGTAATTGATTTTGAAAATGCAGATCGCCAACTGGCTGATATTGATTGGAATGATGTTTTCGGCGACATAAGGAATCCAATTGTATTCTGGGATAAGTTTTTACACATTGTTAATTTCTGCAAAAACCAAAATACCTTAAAAAACCATAAAAAACCTTGGATTAATGGGGAATTAATATATCTGATCAAGTATAAAAGAATTGTGGAACAAATATAGACGTACAAATCGCATAAATTATTTACTAATTCATCGAGACTTTGCCAAAGATTTAAAAAAATCTCTACATGAAGCTCGTGTTGGCTACGAAGAGAGTATAGCCATTAGCAATATCTGTAAGAAATTGTACAAGTATATTAGATCTTCGTTGACAACAAAAGTTTCTATACCTTTACTAGAAAATGATAATGGGGATATATCCCAAAATAACTATGAGAATGTCGAACTCCTCGTCAATACTTTCCTTAATGTTTTCTCTGTCGAACCCACTAATTATCAGTTTCTTCAAAGCCTAAAAAATAATTCGTCTTCTTCTTCTTTATGTACAATGTCCTTTCAGAACGTTGGTTTGGTTTCCATCATAGCTATCTTAATTTTATTCACTGCCATCCTAAATAGCATGCTTGTATCTACACCATACCAATCTCGCAAGTTCTTCAACCATGAGGTTCTTTTTCGTCCTGGACTGCGTTTGTCTGCTATTTTTCCTTGCATGATATTTTGTAGCAACCTATATTTGGGACTTCTCATTACATCTCCCAAATACTCCAGCTTTCTCTGCTTGATGCTTTTTATGATCTCAGTAGTCTTGCTGAGATCTTCTAGTATTCGTCTCCTGGTCTCTACTTAATATCTTCTTTATTTTTTAAGAAATTTTCTGATGCCTTAGCTTACCCACTATATGTGATTATATTCTTATCATTCACCACACATATTTTGCCACCTATATGGAAAATTGCATCTGTAACACTGTTTCTTCTTACGGTGCCTTATCCTTAAGGACGTTGGCTATTACATTTTCCCATTTAATCTTATTTGTAGCAGCCCTGAATAGTTCTATGGAGGTCATGTTCGTCCATTGCCGTAGGTTTTTAAGCCAAGAGTTGCGTCTTCTTCCTGGTCCGCTTTTGCTATTGACTTTGCCTTCGATTATAAGTTGGAGCAGTTTATACTTTTGATTTCTTATGATGTGACCAAAATATTGTGTATTCCGTTCTTTTATTATAAGCATTAGCTCTCTTTCCTTATTCATCCTCCGCAAGACTTCCGCATTTGTCGTGTGGCTCATGTAGGATATTCTGAGCATTTTACGGTAACACCAGAGTTCAAATGCTTGGATTCTTTTTTTGTTGCTTCTGTCATTGTCCAGGCTTCAACACCTTAGAGCAAGGTAGAGAAAATATAGCACTTAAGTATTCTAGTTTTCAATGAGATGCCCAGCTGGCGGTTGCATAGAACTTTTTGCATTTTGTAAAACATTGTACGTGCCTTTTCCAGTATTCTTATCTCTAGTGAGTGGTCCCAAGTTTCATCAAGATTACTTCCAAGGTACGTTGTTCTTGTTTCTCTTTCCAGATCTGTTCCGTCGACATTGACCTTCACCCTTCTGTTTTGGTGCTTGCTGATGACCATCGTTTTTGTCTTCTTTGTATTCAATTTCATTCCAAATTCTCTACAGGCTATCGTTACTCGGTCCATTAAGCATTACAGGGCTTCAGCATTATCTGCCAGTATGACAGTGTCATCAACATATCGCAGGTTATTTATACATTGCCCGTTTATAATTATACCATCCGTGGTGCATTCCAAATCTTTCTGAAATATCTTCTCAGAGTAAACATTGAACAGTAAAGGTGATAGGTCACATCCCTGTCTTACTCCCTTCTCGGTATTGATTTTTCCAGATGTTTCGCTTTTATTCTGATTTTAGCCTTTTGTTCTTGGTGGAGGTTTGAAATGATCCTTAAATCTTTCTCGTTGATATTACATGACCTTAAAATATTTATTAGTTTATCATGTTTCACCAGGTCAAACGCCTTCTGAAAGTCTATAAAACACAAGTATACATCAGAATCGACATCTCTACATCTTTCAACTAGCACACGTATTGAAAAAAGTGCTTCTCATATTCCGAACCCATTCTTAAAACCAAACTGAGTTTGACCAGTGTGTTCGTCTAGTTTATGGTATACTCTATTGTGTATTACTCGTAGGAAAAGCTTCAACATATGATTCATCTGTAACACTGATTTTTAAAAAGGAAACAAATTAGATCCTAAAAACTATAATAAAACACCTATAATATCTAAGATAATGGAATCTATTATTGCCGAGACAATTTCTGATTTTCTGCAAAATGAACTGGTTATACCAAAACAGCAGCATGGTTTAGTCAAAGGACGTTCTACAATGACAAATCTTCTCTGGTGTGTCAATGAATGGTTAAAAGCATTAGACAGAAAAGCCCCGGTAGACATTATTTACCTCGATTTTGCTAAAGCTTTTGATCGAGTTCTAAAGCGAAGACTATTACTTAAATTGGAACACCTTGGAATTTTCATCTCTAAAAGCCTCACCCTACCTCTCAAAATTCGACTTCTGAAATGTTATGTATTCCTGGTTTTGTTATATGGAATGGAGGTGTGGACAATGACCGCAACATTGATGAAAAATGTAGATTCCTTCGAAATGTGGGCTTACCGATGTATATTACGTATATCCTGGACTGAGCACGTGACCAACGAAGAGGTACTACGTCGGATAGGTAAAGAGAGAGAGGTAGGAATAAGCATAAAAAAAAGAAAGTTGGAATACTTGGGTCAAGTTATGAGACATAATAAATATAGAGACTACAGCTGATCGTTCAAGGGAAAATAGATAGCAGAAGGGATCCAGGGAGGAGAAGACACTCGTGGCTCCAAAACTTGCGGCAATGGTTCGGATTGTCATCTGCTGAACTATTCAGATCTGCTGTAAACAAAGTCAGAATAGCCATGTTGATTGCCAACGTTCAGAACGGACAAGGCACATGAAGAAGGAACACCTTGGTATCCGTGGTCATTTACTGAAATAAATCGTAGTGTATTTAACAGATAGAAAGTTTTTGTTAGAGTTGGGGACTCTGTCTCAGTTGAGATAACGGTTTTAAACATTAAACGCAACAAAGCTTTCTATGTAAATGACACGAAGCTATTTTCCGATCCCTCCGTAAATTTCCAGTTACTACAAGATGACATTGATTGCATATCGGAATGGTGCTCTACTTGGATGCTGCCTCTTAATGTGGACAAAATGTGTAGTTCTTTACGTGGTTGAAAATAATCCGTGTCTTCCTTACTCTATTAATGGGCGCATGTTAAAGACAGTGAAACAGTAAAAACAGACAATTTGTTATGAATTTAACACTAATTCATAAAACTAAAATTAGGTTGACGTTTATTAAAAAGTTTTGTAAAATAAATTGTTGTTGGTAAGTAAATAAAACAAAAGCGGGATTATATAATAAAACAAGATGGTTTTTAATGAAACAGAGTGAATTAGTTTTTTAGTCATGGTGAGCTATGGCGACAGAAAAAGATCTTATAGTAAAATAGCATACTTGTTCAACGATACTTTTCCAAACTGAAACCCTGCAAATAACAGTTAATTATTACTTCTATTTTATCAATTCGCACAGACAGTCTGATCAGTGTTGCTGCATTAATCACTTACATATTACATATTAAAAAATTCACGAAGTATGTATAAAATAAATACACACTTGAGTGATTTATAGGATTGCACAATTCTCTTGTTTCCATCTCTGATTTTCGCTACGGATAATTTTCGCAATATCGATCTCGTGATTTGAATGAATAATTATGCACCGAAAGTGATGTGAAAAAGCAATTTAAGTTTCACATTGGAATAATTACCTGCCAATCATTTGGTTTTCCGGATCATTAGTCCTGTATTTGTTTTTGCGATAGAAAAGGGCCCACGATTCAAATCTATAACGAGATCTCGCGAATGGACTATCGGTGATTGATTTCCTTTTTCTTCCAGCTCACTCGGAAGTAAATTAAATGATATTAGGGGACTTGTTAAGTGCAATTTTTGATTACATGCTTCGGTAGTATAATCCATTTTTGTTCGATCAGATTTTATGGTAAGGTTTTAAGTTAATCGTGGCGTAAAAAAAAAGTTTTACTCACGCTAATTACGTAGAAAACACGTCCTTGCTGCTTACTTTCAAAATTATTAATTATCTGCTGATCATTATTAAGTTGATCAAAATGGATGGACCATCCAGTCAAAACAAATACCATATTATGGTAAGATTTCCAGGTGCCTTTGTATATATCTTTTATGACATTATGAAGGAAAGAAAAATTAAAACAGAAAGCCTGCAGAAATTTATTAAACTGTATAAAGAATATAAAACTCTAGAATCACCAAGAGATCAAAAGAAAATATGCGAATATAATGACGATGAAGATGTAGTAGACTTTGAGAAACTGTATGCATGTCTCTTGACTTTATCTGGATCTTGTCATCAAGGCTTAGTTATTGATGAGTTGGAGAAGTACCTAAGTAAACCTAGAGCCGCCAGCTCGAAAGACATTTTAAAGTGATGAAGGACTCATAAGACAGAATATATGACGTTAACGAAGATGGCCTGTGATTTTCTTTTAATACCAGCAACTTCAGTATCTGCTTGAAACCTCAATACTCCGGGAGTATTGGATTTTAGAAAGTGTAAGACTTCCAAATTCCAGAAGAACTGGAAGAGAGGTAATGAAACTAAAACTATGGCTAAGCTCAGAGGAACAAAGTTAAATGGCCAAAGAGACACTAAATCTCAAGTGAGTGTTCGGGCTAGCTTCAATGCACTGGATTGTGGCTTTAAAGATATAAACAGATAGCAAGGATACTGAGCTAATGAGACAAGAAACGAAATGAGACCTGGTAATATCAAACGTGATACAACTAAAGAAGGTCACTGGGAATAAATTTATAGAAAGAGAACAAGAAGAAGAGAAAAAGAAGGGCGCCAACTCAACGATTGTTGAGATTTTGAAGTAACAAAGACAGGAAACAAATGATACTAGAGATAATAACCTGAAATAACAAAATATTAAATACCAATCTTGTCTTGCTATATTGTATACTGGTTAGTAGAACTGAAATAAAACTCAAAATAGTAACAATAAATATATTTATAAAAATGTGTATATAGATATATATGTATGAACAATTTACATATAAGCAAAACTAAATAACAGTGGTAGTGGGTGTGTAAAGATACAATAGGACCAAATAGCCCCTCAACAGGCGAATAATCACTACCACTGGCCAAATAAAGTATAAAAATATTAGTAAACACCAAGAATAGTCCGTATGGTAGCCAAAGTCTTAACACAAAAGGTAGTAATTTAAATTTAACTAGTTCAACTAAAATGAGATACAAATTACAATATTGTAAAGATATCAAACTCGATAAATCTATTACAATTATATTATATTACATCCAAAAATTGAGTCTTCAATACTCTTATATAATGTTTAAAAAAAAACCACATGAAATTTATTTCCCTTCCCCAAAATCAAAATTGTATTATATCAAAAATGTATTCTATTAAAAAAATATATATTAAATCAACAAGGGAGTTTGGTCAGACTCTGTATCCCATTTAAAAAACCTAAAAAAAACATGTAATGTATTTTCCCTCTCCCAATAATATCAAAATTATATTTTATTAAAATTGTATTCACCTTATCATATGCATATGAAAAGTTAACAAAAACAGATAGTAACAAAAAAAAATTACTTACAGTTTGTGGCTGTAAGGACAAACCCAGGGGAGTCTAATTTAGTCAAACCAGGCACTGGTCTATCTGCTCCGAGAAATCGGTAACTCCATAACCAAGTTGTTAACTATTCAATAAATTCTGTAACTATTCCTTCAGGGAATATTCTTAAGAGAATTCCTTCTCTCAAGTGAAGTGACGGAATCTAAAAGAGTTATGTAATTTAATAAATGCAATTCAATAGCTGTAGCAGCGTGGATTGACTACACCAAAACAAAACTTTAGGTATTAGGTTTATGTCAACATGTCAAAACTTCCGAAGTTCATTTCGTAGACATGACAGGCTTGCGCCATGAAAATGAACACGCGCAGAACACAGAAGGCTGTAGAAAACCTTGTATATTCCACCAAAAAAAGTTAGAGGAAAAAAAAACCAAAAAACTTACTGATAAGATATGGAATAGATCGGAATTTAAGTTTGACTATATAAAAAATGACCTTCTGTTCTTTGCAAGTAAATCAAGGAAATTTATATTTAAATTATTTCGGAACTCAAAAATAAATCTCTAAAGAAATACTAAACTGCAATGATAAATTTGATTATATGATAAAGAGATAATACGTATGAAATGATTTACTTACATGGAGCCGCAGCACGCCAAAAAAAATCTTCCTTTTATGTGAAACTCTTATAAATATTGATTTTAAAAATTAATTATTATTATTAATATTTCTTAATTATTCTTATTAATATTTTATTCATGAATTAATTTATTCTTCCCCAAATTATTTTCCTTGTTCCAATTCCGTCACTTTGAAGGTGAAAAAATTTCACCGGTTAGCGTGTCTGCGTTAACGAGTTCTGACCAAAACTTCGACCAATCTTCCTTTTTAAGCGACTACTGCGCGTGTGGGGAAAAATATCCATTTAAAAATCGATCGCTGGCGGAACACAAAAATTTTCTTGAGGGGTTAATCAGTAGCGTAAACGCTACATGCTGAGAGATTATTTTCTAAAATATCAGTAGCAATTAGAAAACATAGAAATAGGTTAAATTATAAGTTAGCCATATGACGTATAGTCAACAATATGGACTCAGTATAAACGTTAAGAAGACGAAGCTTGTAATAATTAGCAAGAAAAGGATAACAGAAGATTAACTCTACGTCAACCAATATCCTGTAGAAAGAGTGACGCACTACAACTACATCTGCACTGTAATAAATTAAGAATGAACCAACAACCAGGAGATTAGAGCACGCATCGGAAAAGCTAGATCCACCTTAAATCGGATCTGGCCCTTCAGAGGCCTCTCTCTTAATACAAAAGTAAGAATGCTGCGATGTTTACGTCTTCTCTGTCCTTTTTTATCATGTGGAATCGTGGGCTTTGAACGAAGATATGTGCGGAAAACTGGAAGCATTTGAGATAAGCTATATCGGAGAATACTTAAGATCCCGTGGACTGACCGAGTCACAAATGAGAAGGTTCTTATAGAAGAATGAATAAGAACCGAGAGGTACTGACCGCCATTAAATCTCTAAAGTTACAATTCTTCGGAAATATGCGAAATGAATCCAGATATGCTCTCCTTTAAGCCATCCTGCAAGGAAAAATATTTGGAAAGCGAGGTCCAGGAAGAAGAACATCTTGGTTAAAGAACCTTAGAATCTGGTTTAATACAACATCTGTGCAGCTTTTTCGCGCTGCTGCAGATAAGATAAAGATTACCATGATGATCCCCAACATTCGTAATGGATAGGCACATCAAGAAGAAGAAGAACAGTAATGTCAAAGCTATTGTAATAGCTATCTGGTAATATAAAGGGAATTATCGTTGTTAACTGCTGTTTAACACAAAAGGATTTATTTATGATAAGTCATAGAATGAGCGGAATATGGCAAATCAGTTTTCAATATTCAACCATACTCGAAAGACAGTATAGATTCTTTGGAACAACGAACCTAATACTGAAAAAGAAAACTGTCTTCTTCAATTGTTCCAACCTCAATATATATAGTATATATAATAGCCGCAATACTTCCAACAGAGCCCGGGATGAAGTGTATGATGATGTGACAGATGAAGAATTACCCTAACTATGTACTATTTCCATTGTTTCATAATAAAGCTTATGCTTATATGGTGTAACATGTTTATTATTTTGATCCCTCTCCCTCCTCAATCCTTTAGCCCTTGTCAGGGCGTAGTGACACCCTAAATATTGTTAGTCTGCTGTCTCCATTGACTGCGATCTTCTGCCATATGGACGGCTTCATGTAGGGATTTTCCCACCAAACTCTTCATTTGGTCTACCCATCGTATTGGAAATCTTCCTCTTGGTATTCGGCCTTTTACCTTTCCTTCTACTACCAATAGTTCCATGGTGCCCGTTCTTCTAGCTATGTGGCCGAAGTAAGTTAGGTATGCTTGGTTTACTTTTTTAGTAGCCTGTCTTTTATATGAAGCTCTTCCAGAATTGACAGGTTGGTTCTATGTTCTGCCCAGGACACGCGTAGAATTCTTTTATATACCCACATTTCGAAGGCTTCCATCTTACTCCTATCGATCTTTTTGAGAGTCTATATTATTTTGACTATGAAAATGCAAAAATGGTGCAACCCAAATTTTTTTCTAATTATTAGCTTAATTAACACAAAAGTACACAATAATTGTAGATTCTAAAATTTGTTTTTATAAATTAAAAACAAACAATTAAAATAATGTTTACAAAATAAATCAATATATCCAAATTTTAATTTATTATTATCTCCCAATTAATTAGTCTGGGGCTACATCACTTTTGCGCTGATAGCCTCATTATTTATGTGTATATATAATAAAATGTTTAAGATTGCAAAACTGATTATGTATTAACAATTAAGCTTTAACAATTTTCTTTTTTTTTCAGGTATGTGTGCTTCAAAATTGTAAGTAGAAATAATTTTTTAAGTATTGGTATGTTGTAACGAACTATTTTGGTTACCTCAGGGTAAGAACATGGGGTAAGAAGATTGGCCAAACAAAATAATCGAAACTAGTGCGTACGACACTCAAGGTTTGTTGGAGAGCTGGGTCGTGGATAAGTTGAAATAAAATTGGTCGGATTGGGGTATCTACCAAATTAAAACAAAGGGATACTTACATAAATCTCCTGGGTCAAAAACGAAATAAGATATGGCAGACAAGGTATTACCTTATATATTATAATATATTATGATATATAATAATATATGATAATAGCTTACCTCTAGCTATTTCTATTTGGGACGCCGCTTTAAAGAAAACTCAAACTGGAACACAGGAAACCATTTCTATACTCAGAAACGACGATCTAAGACGTGAATGGGCTAGAATCAAGCAGGCAAACAAAAAAAACTGTTGGGACATCCTATATATTAATCTGCAAAAATTCCAATAATTTCCGGTACACTGCATAAATCTTTTGGTTGATACTCTGCTTAAGATGCTATTAATGCTAAGAGTATTAAAACCTTACCGGTCTTAAGACATTACACCAAGAAAAAATGAACCGACCGTTGATTCGAAATTGCCCCAACCTTCTCGTCTAAATGCTCTAGCTTGACCTCATCATTCGATTGATTTAGCTTGACTGCCTATTCGAATGTTCTTGCTTGACTGACTATATCTGCCTTCAGTTTTAAAATTTTATTCAGACAAAAACATCTATGTTTACTTTTGAATCGGTAGAAATACACGTATTATATTGATTATTTTAAGCGGAATAATTTTGTACCTGACAATGTAACAGAAACAAAACATCTATATTTTTGCCTTATCGCGTCAAAAAAACTTGAAAT